CTCTTTCCCTCATCCTTTCATTATTACGCGATGCTGCGCGATTACACTCGCTCGCAGCTTGAAATGAAACAAGTGGCAAGGTGTCTTTATTGGCTGGCAATGACAGCAGAGTGATAGATCGTTGGGATACCTTCTTCATCCGCGTGGAAGATCGTTTGAGATTATAATTAGACGCGATGCTTGAATACCGCTTGTTAATTCTTGCGAATTTCAAACCAAATGGATTTTTGGGCTACTCATTGACAGTAGTTGGGAAACTAAGGATAACAAAATTTACGGATTTTTATGGATTCTTTATTTTCTGAGATACGTAGATTGAAATCAAAGATAGGCTATACGGATTTCTTATCGGTGTCCACAGTGTCGTCGCTTTGAGTGTATCTCGGAGGATAAAGAGCGTACAAAAATTTGTAAATTGCTACTTTGTTCCTGGCACCTTCAGTACTACGTGTCACGCAGTGTCGATAAATTTGTTTGACATTTTATCGGACATGTAATATGTCGTGCGATTGCTTTTAATGGATGGAAATTATTTTTATCTTGCTATTTGTTCAAGGGAGAAGCAACCTATGCATGGTACTCGATCCCATTAACTTTTGCCAGTAAATGAATAATAATGATTCTTATCCAATAATAACGAGCTGGAAATTAGTAAACGAAATATAATAAATAATCGTATATATTCATATTTACGTTTATATCACTTTTCTAATTGACATAATACCACGTTTTTAAATCACTGAATTGCGAAACGTAATATGTATAATACTTGTATAGACGAAGAAAAAATGATACCTTTAAAAAGCATCGAAGTGGATAATGAATTGACTGTTGTTCATGTTCATGTCAATTATAAAAGAACCATACATCACGAAATCATGTTTTGTTAATTTGAATTCAATTGCGTGTCATTCTGCACTACGTTCTCCTTTTTTTTTATTTTTTTTTTCATACCTTTGAGCGAGATATTATGACGAATAAGCTAGAATTTCGTAGATTAGATTAAAAACTTTCAAGATCGCTGGAAGGATAATCTACGTTGATTGTTTGAATAATGAATAATACAATGGCACAACATAGCAACCGAACGACATTATCATTCATTTTTTATTCGACTATGGATAATAACCAACATCCGATACGCCTGGGAAACGTTTTAATAAACGACTAAGGACTCCTTGCCACACACGCGAACGTTAATAAAATACATTTAAATGTCATTTCAATTTCAATTACAAACGACTGAGCTTGTAAATCAGCGAGCGAGTATAACTCGCGACCGAGAGGCCTCGTAATGCAGCAGCATCCAAAGAGACTTGAAAATTCTCGAAACTTTTAACGAGACAGTCATTATTTGGATGAGAGAAAGAGGAATTACGAAGTGAGAATTCTGAAGAAATTCGCTCCTTACACTCCGTGAAACTTTTCAACGTGTCAGAACAGCCACGTATCACTTCGCAAGAACGCGGTACACACCACCCACGCACTTTATACGCGTTGTAAAGTTTCGATACTTAAGCGTTATGACATTAACAGTCGCCTATTATTAATCGTGAGCACAGGGTGAAAGTTATGCGATTGTCTCTCGAGTTTAACCTGCTAGCTGATTTCTTAATCGGAAACTCCTTTGGACAGAATTCAGAATCAACGAAGGAGAAATGATTTTAATCGGATCGATTTCAAATCTTGCAAGCGTTTAACACGCTGTTCAACGCATTTTTCACGCTAGATTAAATACCGTGAAAATGATCCGCTTAATAATGCAGCAGAACATGATCGATCGTTTAAAAATAACTTTAAATAAACAGGCAGCTAAAGATCAAAAGGAGACCCTGATATTTCTCAAGTTAATACAAATGTGAAGATGCACTGGAGAATGAGGGATAGATAACAAATGATTTTAACGAGATCGACTTGAAATCTTGCAAATATAAATATAATTTAATATATTTTAGATATGTTAAATCGCGTGGAAATTTTCCCATTTAGTAATTGGGAAGTATCATTGATTGTTTGAAAATAATTTTAAATAAATAGGGATATTTATCTCTGATGTTCTTAATGACGATAAAAATGTAAAGATGTATCGGAGAGCGAGAAGTTAGGTGCGAAATAGGTTAACGTTTCTAAATATTGGTGATTCGAGAGACGAGTTAGCTCGGCGTTTTCACTCAGTTAACAGGTTAACGCGTTCGACTTCCAACCAACATTTCCAACGCGCCATTCTACGTAGTATGATACTCTGTGACACAAATTTTCCCCCTAATTACTTGGCTACTTTCACTTTGTGCCATCTACGAGATCTAACAATATCATAATAAGGCAGTTTGACACCGCTGAATGCAATAAATGCTAGTGACGTTTGCAGCAGCGATCACGTATATCTCTACCAAGATTTTAGCTATACAGTTGACCTGGACACGAGATTCGTTAACAGTGACACAGTACCGGAGAAAAACGTTCGAAAGTCTTACGAAAATGATTTAGAATAATTTTCCAGTCGAATGTATGAAAATGTCATCTATTCCTTTAACTACGATGCCGAGAATAGATTTCTCAGAATTCAAGTTTCTTTTAGAAAGAAAAATGCGTTATTCCTCGAGCAGACATTTGTCACGGATAAATTTCAAGAACCTCTGCAGTCTGATAATATAAAATCGATTAAAATCGCAATTAAAACAATTCGGCACGTATTCGTCAAAAAAATGTATTGCCTAATTTTTGCCTAATTTCCCATTTAGTGCCAACCGACATCGTGGTTAAACTGACTTGTAGTTTCCATCGACGTCTACCGTGGCAAGAAACGCTTCAAGCACGAACCACGCACAACCAAGACTTCAGATCTACATGTTCAACGATCAAGCGACAACTAACCCAACGCGCAAATCACATGGTTCGAATGAAACGAAATCTCATCCCCTATCACCTGCATTCCTTACCCGAACGCGGTGTCAATCGTGGGATATGAGCGAGTGCCACGCACTTCGCCTGATCCTGCCCACAGCCGGAATACGGCGCGAAGCCGTAACAAAGGTACCGTCAAGTTAGAACCGACCGATCGCCTCGGGGAGCAATTTCAACGTTTCACGTCAGAGGCAGAGCGCGATGCTCATCGACGAAGCCAGTCGGCACGTCCACCATATTAGGATGGGGAACCGGCGAGGGCAACACGTTCGTGTCGCTCTCGACGTCTCCGTCGGCCATTTCGTTGTCCGCTGCGCCGGTCAGCTCGCGCACGTTCCCCGGAAGGTAGTCCTTCCAGCTCCTGAACAGATACCTGGTGAACTTTCGGAGCTGCCGGAACTTGCAGTAGGTGGCGCCCTCTGCAGACTCGAGCTGCTGCGTCTGGATCAGAAAACCCTTCTCCTTGAACGTCTGCTCGAGTTTCTCCCTCTGAAGGGACTTTCGAGTCTTTCTCTTACGTCGACCTTCCTCCTGGTTGTTGGTCCTCTGACAGGGCGACGGCTGAATCCTCTCGCCAGCAGCGTTCAGGAAAGCTCCTGTCGAGGAGCCGGATTGGCCAGCCGACTGCTGTAGAGCTTCTCGAGGAAAAAACTCGTAGCCACGCATGCTCTTGTCGCCGGTGCCGCTGTAGTACCTAAAGTTACCGCCAGAGTCGACGGAGAGACTCTTCTTCTCTTGCAGACTGGGTTTGGCTCCTCCGGTGAACTTAAATTTGCATATGCTCACTTCCGTCGCGGGGTTGTTGTTGTTCTCGGTAGGCATGGGCGGTATAAATATGGCGGACCGTTTCCTCTTCGTCGGCTGTCCTTGAGCTTGGCCGACGGGAGCGTTTCTCTTCGGTCTGGGTGAAACTGGAGGTGGTACGGGAATCGTCTGAGGGGCTGGCTGAACAGGAGGAGGAACCAACGGTGGACTCTTCGTCTCCATCATAGAATATATAGACTTTGGAACGATCTTCTGTTCCTTGGGAGGTTGGTCCAGGCTTCTGGGATAACACTTATCGCCTTGCGCCATCTTTTGGTAATACAGCAGCTGCGATTGCAGCGCCATCGGATGAATAAACACGCCCGCGTTCGGCCAGTACACGAACCCAGGATTGGCACCCAACATGGGATCTATTATATTATTGTTATGATTCACGTTATTACTACTACTACGACCCAGGGGATCCAACGGACGGTAGCCCGGTTCCGAGGGAAACGTGGTGCCTATACACTCTACCTCTTCTCCGTCACTGGACGTCTCGCTCTTAACCTGTCCAGACTCGTAGACATTACCGTGCTTCCGCAACAGCCTGATCTTCAGCTGGTTCAGATCCCTGATGCAGAGATTCAACGGCTCGTCCTGCTCCCTGGAGTTCTCCATCATGCCGAAAGTTCGTCGAGACTCCTGCGTCAGTCGCTTCTCTAACAAGCTGCTGATCCTATTCTGAACGGTGGTCCGCCGGAAAGGCATCGGTGGCGAGATCCTCTCGCGGCACTCGAGCTTGTCCCTCGGCGATAGCCTCCTCTCCTCGTGGCCAGGCGTACCTGGCAGTATGGTGCCGTAATTCTTGTAGATTAAATGGCAAATGTCCGCTTTCTTCGGTTTCCTGCCTCGTCGCGGCTTGCTGTTGTCCAGCGTGATCTCGCCCATGTAAGGCAGATCCGAGTATTTCATCGGTGGCCTGCCGGACGCTTGAGATTGTAGCTGTTGCTGCTGATTATGACTATGGTGGCCCGTGTTCAGCGTATGGGAAGAGGTGGACGTAATCACGGACCTCCTGGAGCCGGACGGCTGACTCGAGTTTATCGTCGAGCACTGGGCCGAAGAGATCTGCGGACAGAGCTCCTGTTGCATCGCGGCGATCCGTTGCAGCCAGCCATGCACGTCGGCTATTGGGCTAGGCGTCGACGTGGAGCTGGTGGGAGCCGGGCTAGGGATAGTCGGCTCCGTCAGCCGCGTCGGCGACGAGTTTAGAGCCTCTTGGGCGAGGGATGCCTCGTAGTGGTCCAGGTACTCCGGGGGCAGCGCTTGGTGGTGAAACTTGAGCTTCCATCGCGACTTCCTGCGGCCACGACTGCAACAGACATCGGGAACCCATTCATTTTAACGCGATTCAGAAATTTTATATATACAAGTGTAATGGTGAAAAGCGGATAGGAAAAGTGGAATTATTTTATGACTAACAATCGGGTATATCGAATATCTTTTTGATATAGTAAAAACTAAATGCTAAAATAAACTCTACATCCTAGCGACGTGGAAGCGATCCCTTCCCCTTCCCCGTTTTGTCTTTTGTTTCCTGTTTTCCGGAGACGTCTTTTGGCGTCTGCGTGGCCCTAAACAGACAGGTCAGTTCTAGCCGTTCGTCCGTTTAATAAACATCTATACAGTTTTTCCACCGTTTTCAATAGGCTACTATTTATTTGCATTATAATCCCTTAACACTTTCCAATCTTCGAAAATGACAATTTGCGATACTACATATATTAAAAGATCCATTCCAATTTCAACTTCCTCTCACGACCGCACATATAGGAGGACATTAAAACCAATTTCTCCCTCAATTCTATTCCCATTTCAGTGAAAAATCCAATGGAATGAACTAATTTCCTGCTCCATTAAGTACATTTGAAAATTCTAAATCTGTAATGGAATAAAAAATCCGGAATATCCCCAATATCCTGTTTTCTCTTCGGCTATCATACACCCTAACACCAATTTCCTTTTCAGCCCCATTTCGTTTCCCTGGAGAAGCTCAATGCCCCATCTCGGATACTCGAATCGAACCGAAATATACCGAATTTCTTATTTACTGCCCACCTCGCTTTCCGGTGTGCGACCAGTAATTAATTCGTAATTAATTTCTCGTTAGGTACCCCGCATGGAGCGCGTACAGAAGCATATGGAAATCGGATGCACGACGCTGATAATTACATCGGCGATACGGGGCTTTCGTTAACGTTGTTTTCCACCTAGCTGCATTCCGAACCACACCTCGGGACGGCGATTTATACAAGCAGCACCGTGCCACCTTACGGCCATATTATGCATAGAGAGAACGTGTCCCGCGCTGCTCTTCCACTGGCTCCTCTAGCTCGGCGCATTTAATGAAATTCAATAACGGTAATCGACTCGCGGCATTTCAGCGACGTACCAAAGAAGTTTATTCCTCTTTTTTTCTTCTCGGCTAAGCGAGAGAGTCCGCGTACTCGCCGAACGAACCAGTTTCCCCTCTGAGCTGAATCCTTCTTGCCGGTTATCTAAAAGCGAGTCTTTCACAGCAGCGCCGCGAGTTTTGCGTCGAAGGGGTCGTTAGAGGAGTTAGAACGTGTTGGTCGACACGGATCACTGGAAATCGTGCGAGGAGCCGAGAGGTTACAGCAAAAATTCATCTCGCGTGGAAGATTAGGGTAATGAGAGGAACCCGGGAGGAAGTGCTTTTGATGTTACGATTATGATAGAGAAATTATGTTCGGAAAGGAAATGGAGGTATTTTTAAGCAGATAAATTGGACGATGACTAATAGCATCGAGAGTCATTTACAAGGAACGCGAGTTGCTCGATGTTCTAATTAATTTACTTCTTACTACTGTAACTGTACTGTTAGTTTCATTTTTCTAATTAAAATTTTATAAAAGTAACCTTGTTTCAGTGTTTCTAGTATACGATCATTGGACAATTAAAGTTGAATAAAAATTTGGTTATTGGGGAATTCAATGTTTATTGCTAATATTTACTCTTGTAATATTCCTGATAAAAGTATGGAACTGAGTATTTTCCTATATTGCATATTCTAAAATCGAATCTTATAATAAGTGGAAATAATTAGTAAACTAATAATACAACTCTTAATGAAGTCTACTATAAGTGAAAGAAGATAGGAAACGATAAAAATTGCCAATTTGTAAAATATTTTATATTTGTAGTGACGTGGAAACACGTCTAATAAATGAAAAATTATTGACAGCTTCCTTTCGTTATGTTAACGGGGAAAGATTGATTTTTAATTTTCAGCAAGTGTGAGGGAAATAAAAGTGATTAACGGGACAAGTTACCTCGGTCTTCCTCGGTTGTTGAGATCCGCAACAGTCTGCCCTGGACTTTCCTCAAGCTCCTGGATCTGATGATGGCCCGTTTCGTGTCCATGGCCGTGTTTGCCGTCGACGGACGTCGGCGAAGTGTCTGCATCTACTTGCGGACTATCAAATTTACCATTAACTCTCTATCGTGACGAACAGACTAAACGGAACGAAGCTTTCGTCTTTTATACTTGGCAATAAAAACACGAATAAAGTAAACGCGGACGAAGCGAAGTGAAAGTTGTTACCCGATACATATTCAGAGACAAAAAGGAATTTCCCACCTGACGTAAACATCCGTGAAACGTCATAAATCGCATCGAAATACCAAAAGTATACACTACCTTTGAAAAACGTTCATTCAACAAAAACCTTCGTGTGTAAATATACTTATAATTAATAACTAAAAGAATATTTCAACGATACTTCAATTTCTCCTAATACAATTAAAAATTAAATCCCCAAATTCGAGTTAAATACTTTATTCAAAAACAGGTGACCTATGACCCATGTTATTAGGCATCACTTTGTACACAAGTCTTCAAATTTCATTATTAGCCACACATATATGCACACTAAGATACGCGATCTATTACTTAAGCTTCTAAACATCGCTATATATTAATTCCAAAATTCCCCAAATTTGTAATAAAAGTACACATATACCAAGACACATGACTCGCGACACAAGCTTCTGGATATCAACAGATATGTCAATTTTCAAATGTTAGTCATACACATATGTAGACGTGACCCATGATCCAATCTTTCTGACACTACTATCCAATAAATCCTAAAATTTTAGCAATACGAATATATAAACTAGGACACGAGATCCCCGACCGACTATTTATTATATTGGACACTGCTATTCATAAATCTCCAAATTTTATTATTAGTCACAGATATATGCACACCAAGGTATGTGACCTATCACCCAAGTTTTTAAACATCGGTATATATTAATTCTCAAATTTTAGTCCCACACACACGTATACCAAGCTTTTGGACACCACTACGCATAAATCCTGAAATTTCAGTCATACACGCCAGGGCACGTGACCCATGACCCAAGCTTCGGGACGTCACAACACACGTGCGAGGATCGCGACCATCAGCCCACGTGTTCGAAATTATCCCCAAGTGCATAAATTACTTTTACGCGGCTCGAGGTGATCGTGGCGTACTGCCTTCAGAAAAATAATCTGTCGCTCGTAAACGCGAGCGATAAGTCCGCCGACCCCGAAAACGTGCACAGTGCGTACACGTTTCGCATAATAATACCCCGACAGCGTATTATTTCATTTCCCTGACGAGATACATTTGTCTCGTTACGATGCGCAACACGCGATAATAATAATAACTAATACCTTTCTCATATGATTTATGCCTGATACGATAATAACACATCGGCCTGTCGACACGAGCGTTTACCTCGCTGACGGAATACTAATGCTACTTTCGTGTGTTCTACACTCGACCAAGGATCGACGAGAAATAATCGTAAGTACCCCACGAACGGAAAGCGTGGTAGGTTTCTAAAAATACGGCGGAAGAAGGCATTATCGATGCGATCTGTGGGTCTAAGACGGGGGTTTACGAGGGAAAGCGTTACATAAAGATAGGATCGACGGAGACGGGAAGCTTCGATTAGCATAATCGTAGGCTCACCTCAACGCATTCGTGTCACGACTTCGCTCCTCCTCCTCCTGTGGCTCCTGCTTGACCGCCATGTGGAGCAGAGGTGGCAACGGACACTTTATATGTGACGAGTGATGCAGATGATGCTGCAGAGAGGCGCTGTCCGTGGGGCCGCCGTCTATACCAGTAGATTGTGCGCGAGGCACGATTTCCTCGGTCTGCATAGTGCCCCCTGAAACACATACGATAACAGGTTATGTTCGTTCCCGTGTGACCGATCTTAACAGCAATTCATTCGTATTTGTCGCTCGTGAGCAAATGCAATTCGAATTTTTCCCTTGGCTTTTGCCTTCGAATTCTGTCCCCAGCGTACTCACAGCTTTGGGTTCTGCGTTCTTTTTAGTTCGTGCTTCGTGATGATTTGATCGGAAAGTTGTGAGCCGTTGTTGACTATAGATGTAGTAAAATTTATCGAGATAAATTGCAAGTTTCGTGAAATGTAGAGAGTTTAGTTTTCTGTTTTGGTTTTTGACTCTTTGGTCAGTGTTTCGTGACGATTCAATTGAAAAGTTACGATTGGTTGGAGAGGATCGAAATTTGTTGAGGGGAGTGACGAATTTATTGTACACACGTGAGTAGCTTAAAGGTTGAAGTGATTACTCCGTTTTTTGAATTTTTTCAAATTTAAGTGTCAAGGGGCTAAATTTATTATATTTAAATTTTCGTATTTGGGATAAATATTTGACTTTTGTTTTCTGGAGGTAATCTATAAAATTCGTATATGTATGTATTTTATAATAGGATAGGGTTTGTCACGATTTAAACTTCATATGAAATATTCTCTCTGGAATAATACAAATGAAGAACAATGTTTCACTTTATCTCACATAAGAACCCTTTTATCTTCCTAGCAAAATGTCAGATCTAAAGCTACGGATCTAGATGAACCGATAAAAGGACACCAACTATCCATTATCCAAACCAGACTCTCATAGGAGGAAACGACGAAGAAATGATTTTAAAGTAAATAAAATTTGTTGAAACATAAAGCAGACAATATAAATCATATAAATCATATAAATTCCTCAACAAAAACCTCTCGTCGCTGAATGATTTTAAAAGAGGAAACAGTAAAGAAATAATCTTAAACTATATAAAATTTATTCAAATATAAATTAGACGATACAAAAATACAATTAGTCCTGAATCAAAACCTCCATCATAGAAGAATGATTTCAAAGGGGGAACCAACAAGAAATAATTCTTAACTTCATAAATGAAATAAATAAAATTGATTTAAATATAAATCGGATAATACAAGCATTCGAATAATTCTCAACCAAAAGCTCCCTAATCACAGAATAATTTCAAAGGAGGAAACAACCAAAAAATAATTCTAAATTAAATAAAATTCAATAAAATATAAATCAACGATAGAAGGATACGATTAATCCTGAATCGAAACCTCTGTCATCGCAGAATGATTTAACCAAAGTTCGAGGAGAACATGGAAACTGGGGAAAACGGGATGATAAATAAATACGATGGAACGACTTGCAAGCAGAAAGTGGAACGTCCCCGACGAATTTCGACTTTCCGTTTCGTCGAATCCACGCTAAATCGTATGTATATAGGTCCGAAGGAAAGGTTACGCGTGGGCACCCGTCGTGGTTGACTTTTGCACGCATGGCGCAGCCTGGGTATTGCGGAATATTCATAACCTTCTCGTTAATCAAACATTGTCCGATTAACCGTAAACGAACGGCCAATAAAGTTTTCTATGCGCGCGTAGATCGGAACAGGCGTGAGAAATGGAGGAAACTGAACAAATGCCCACATGCAAATCGCGACGGGGAATCGTGTGGGGTGTTACACCATCGTTGGGCCGCGTGTGGGCACGCAGACGCGTCCAAGGCTTCGAAATCGTATAAAAGGAAAACGCGCAGCTGCCGTGTATTACGCGACGTATCGGCTTAGGAATGCTTTTCAGCTCGCCTCTACACACCTGTCACGTATAATTTCTCGTAATGCTCCTTTAAGCTCATCGAAACGTCGATCCGCCATGTATAAATATAGTACACCGGCCAAGCGCGTTCTTCGCGCGTAATAATAAACGCGGGAATAAGAGGACCGAGTGCTTGCACGCGAAAAACACCGTAAATGTGGGTGTACTGAACGATATCGGTGAGGAAAACGATGTTAGAGGAAGCTCTTAGAGTAGTTTGATCTGGGAAGAAGATCAGATGTGTCCGAAGACGACGAAGAAAAAGAAAATGGCGGGAAGTAGAAGTAACTTAAATTTAGTTTGAGGTTAAACACCAAAAATACTATACTAAATACAGAAATACTGATCGATATTGATGACAGAAAGGTACTGAAGGAAATATTGAAAGAAAGTTGATGTTAGGAGAAGATTAAATGCCTTAAGAATGATATCGTAACTGGGAAAGAAGATGTCGGAGAAGTTGAAGTAATTTAAATTGGACTTAAAATATTAATTCTTGAGAACCTGATGCTTGCATGCGAAAACATCGTAAACTACTGAGAGAAGAATCGACACTGTTGAGAAAAATTTTGAGAAGAAGATCAGGTGATATAGCTGGATAAAAAGAAAATGGCGAGAAAGTAGAAGTAATTTACACTCGGATTTAAGATACTAATTCTCGAGGTTATTACACATATCGATAATTGTCGTTCCCCGAATATAGAACGAAGATTTATGTCGAATACGATGTTAAGAATAGAGAAGTGCAGAAAATATGGAAGATCTCGAAAAGTAATGCGAGTACAATGATTACCTCGTGTCGCGGAGAGGATTCATTTTTGAAGGTGTGCTAGCCAGACACTTGTTGTCCATTTTCATGAGTAATATCTTCTCTTAAATCCTTCCAACTGTTTTCAGACCATTTTATACTTCAACGGAAATTCGATGCCGCTAATAAGTTCTGATCTTACGATGAAGAATGTGAACGGCTTAAGAGAGTATATATTTCACCTAAACATACCACGTCGTTCGATAAAAATTACTACAAAAATTTCTAAACAGACTACACCTCGTTTCACGTTAAAATTATTTCATCGAAATGGCGGAACTATCACCACTCATCCTAACCTCAAATTTCTAATTTCCATACAAAGCAATGCGAATAATGATTTACACAAAATTTTCCTAACCACTTAAGCACCCACGAAATAGCTCTTTAAATACCCGTACGAGTGTCATCGATAATCGATTTGAATAAAAATGTCTAAAACAATTAAATAGCGTTACAATAAAATTATTTATCGAGGTGGCGAAACCTTCGCCACTTCGCTTAACCTCAAATTCTTAATTTCCATACAAAAGAATAGAAATAAAAATTCACGCAAAAGTATCTATCTAACCACCCACTCGCGAAACTCATCGATTCTAACAAGAATTTCGAAAACGATTAAAACTCGTTGCGCTAAAACTGTTTCATCGAAATGGCGAAACCTTCGCCACTTGTCCTAACCTCCAATTACCAATCTGCATACAAAAGCACGAGAAATAAAGTCTTATACGAGCAGTTCGACCTAACACCCACGGAACATCTCTTTAAATACCCGCAGAACTCATCGATACGCGTTTCCAATGCATCGTAATTAACGCGTTCGCGACTAATTCAAGGAGGAATCCGCGTTTGAACGCGCGTCAGCCTCGCGTAGAAGCAGACGCGAGGCATCAATCTTCCGGCATCCTGTACGCTTCAAAGTAGGATAAATTTAACGAAAGACGATAATGATTAATTGATAATTCGCGTGTGTCTGCGGGGCAAAGGGGAAACGATACGAGACTATTGCAGCAGGAACGACGACGGTTCGGGGCGACGAGGGAATATCAAAGAGAGACGTAACTCTCGTAGACAAGAGCGGAAACGAGGGGCAGAAAAAGAGAAGGAAGAGCGAAACGAGCATATGGAATCGGAGAGATGAAGAAACGTATTGTACATACTGACTTTGCAGCACTGTCGGATAAAAATATTCACGCTCGAAAATAGAAACAGACACACGTTCGGTCCACCCAACACCCGCAATTCCTGGCCCGTACTTGGCCTTAGTCGATCGGGTTTCACGCCTTATACCATCAGCTTTTCGAGACATCGGTTGGCTGTGGTTCGTGGAACAATGTTGCACGAATTTGAGAGCCAACGGTGGGTCGTGAAACTGATACAGCGAATGGCAATGGTCGGATGAAACGAAACAGCGAGTTTTGGTGTACATCGTTGGCGAATAAATACATGTTCCTGTACATTCGATATGTTTACATATGCACGTTTTTATTGCCGAATTTATGCAAATTCTTTGCCTATATTTCGTTACGTAATATCGAATTTTTTATTCCACGTGAAATTTTCTAACCCCGAAAGTGTAAATGCTACTTCATTTTTTATTTTACATCGAATGGTAATTTTATACTAGTCGTTTGAAATGGAGAAGATTTAGAGAATGGTATAATATTAGAACGGCAGTGTGTTGGAGATTAATAACATTAGGAACAATATTCGTGTTTACTTGGCAAACAACGTTTCGTCATTGGAAGCGAATTTGGTAGTACAACATTTTTGTCGTCGCCAGAAATAGACGTAATGTAGTTATAGTTTAAGTTCTGACACGCCGTGGACGTTGTCGATTATCTCAATTATCCCTAAATTTAAAAGGCAAACAATTAAATAGCCAATTTTCAACGAGCTTGATCGAATCGTAAAGCACAGTATTTTGCTCGATATTCAAAATTACCTGAACCACTGTTTCGCACAGAGATAAACGGTACAATTTTATTCTTGATAACTGCCTGAAATCGTGTTTCCGGTGTCAAAACACCGTGTCAAAAATAAATTTGACGACATGTTTTGAACCAGCACGCCGGAAATAAAGCTGACAATATTTCTTCTATTCCAATAGCGGAAATAAAGTCGATGGTATGTAAAGTCTACTTTTACGTCAGCAATTAAAACTGATTAAACCATTTGTACTAAATTTAACGACGAACGACACGAACTCGCTATTTCATATATTCCCTGTCTTATAATAATACTTCCTGCTCCTTCTATGCCAAAATTTTATACCATCTATAAATCTATAAAAACCAACGAACTAATCCATATTTGTTTCATAATCGAATTTACGATATTATCAATAATAACACTCCAATAAAGATACTCTATATTCCAAATATTATATAAGTGTATTTTTATCCTCGTGACAGGGGCA